TCTGGAGCAGTGAGAATCTCCTCCGGCAGCGTGTCCATGGCATAGGCGAGGTTTGAAGATCGCCCCTCATCCAGCCACTTCTCTGCTGCCCTCAACAGCCTCCTTGCGAACGCCTTAGTGTAGCCGCCCGCAAACTCCGCCACTGACCAACTCTTGCCCTCGTGCTTCATGCCGCCCATCGTCAGAGCGTGCAGCCGTTCACAGCTGCATCTCTTCTCGCATGCCCTCACGATCTCCTTCGTGCCGATCGCTTGGTGGGCTTCATCAGGGCTCCTTAGTTCTGGGCGCCTCAAACCGTAGGCATGTCCACGCGCCTCGTCGCAATCCGGGCCCAAGAAAGCCTCCCTGATGAGCGGCTCCTTCCAGGTCCTTGAGGTGAGCGGGTTCTCACCGACCACAGCCTTGCCACACGCTCGCCGATCCTTGGCCACGTCATGGACAAAGCTGAGAAAATCGTCCCGATCCATCATCTGCCGATCAGCCAGCGCCTCGGCGTGCTCCACCGTCTTGACGTTGAGGCCCTGCAACTGCGACCAAACAGTGCATGGCCAAGCAATGACGGTGAGATCAGGGTCGGCCGCCCGAACATAGTTGAGTGCGGCCTTGCGTTCCTGTGGCAATCGCAGATCCCAGTGTGGCAGTGTGATTGGCTCCAACCCAATCCAACCCGACTGGGCCGCCAGCATCGTAACCGTAAGGGTCCAGGTGAAGATCTCCAGGACCTTGTAGGGCCTCTTAGGCACCCTCGGCTTGTAGGTGACGGGCTCCGATCGCTTGAGGTTGCCCCTCACCTTGTCCAGGGTGTGAATCTCCTTGAGCTGGCGGATTCCGCTCCTGACTTTTCTCTTTTGGCCCTTGGTGAAGGCCTTGACCGGACCCTTGTAGGCCTCGCCTTCATCGTAACTGCGCTCCTCCACCTCTGTCGAAGAGTCCGAGTCCGGCCATTCCACACCGAGCTCATGCGAGGTTGTCGACTCGCCCCCATCGAAGGCGCCCTTGTAGGAATCATCCTCGCTCTCCGAAACCTGGATGTAGTCCCGCGTCGGCACCTCCAGGCTTTCCATGTCCGAGAGGAGCTTCCTGAGCTCGTGCTCCTCCGATTCCGTCTCGCTGGTGTTGCCGGAGCTCTCATCTCCCGTGCCCAGATCTTCTTCTTCTCCGGCTGCTGTCACAAATGCATAGGTCTGAGGAGCGTTCACCAGCTGCTGCCTTAGCTCGGCTAGTTCTCTGTCCTTTGTGCCCATCAGGACGTTCGGGAACTGCAGCAGGTCCAAACCCGGATGCCGCGTATCCGTCAACAGCATCTTCTTAGTCACGCCCATCGCCTGAACCGTCCGCTCCTTGAAGTTGAACCGGACGTCCCATCTGGCAAGTTCAGAGGGGCTCACTAGCCCTGGGCAATCCGCTGCTGATCCGGACACCTCTGACATCCTCAGAAAGCTTTCGCGCCCATGCACTCCGACGGGGTAAAGATACCCCCTGACCGACTTCTCCGGTGCTCCTGCTCCAAACTTGAAATACTCCTCCTCCGCGATGACCTCCCACTCCAAACCCAGCTTGATCAACTCCTGCTGGAATCTGGAATGCCAGTGTATCCCACCGACAGAAGTCCGGCAACCGCTGTCGGCAATGGCAAGCACGGTCTTCGGGAGGTAGTCCATGGTGAGCACCTGGTGCTTCTCATCCACATTCCCGGCCACCAGGACCGTAGGCCGGGATGACCAGTACACCACGCTCTTGAGGTCACAAACTCCACACCGTGCATAGTGACCTGAGCCATTGGCAGTCCATCGTAGCTTGTGGAAGGGATGGCCACACTTCTTCTGGACTGGGCTCGGAGTCGGGCTCATCTCGGAGGGCTGAAACCGACCTCCTTGGACCTGTTCGTTGTAGAGCTGCTCCCGAAAGACCTCAAGTCTCTTCTTCTTGACGGCGGCCGGGAGCTCCCCTGATGGTGGAACCGGATCTTGAGAGCCCGCAGCACCTGTCACACTCTCACTCCAGTTTTGATGGCGGGCAAGGATATCTCCCGCCCTGTCATCTTCCTCCTCCACCAGCTTTGCCATGAGGTCGCGCTTCTCCTCCCTGCTCATGTAGGGCACCGCTGCGCTAATAGCCTGGGCCGGCATGTAGACCAACTTCCCAGTGCCCTTGCTGCTCGTCCGCTGGCTTTCTCTCACGGCTGCCTTCGCTGCCTCCAGCGGTATCTTGTACCCCTCACCGCGCGGTGGATCCTGATCACTTTCACTCTCATAGTCAACCAGGCTCCAACCACGCTTCGGGTCGTCACCGACGTCTCGCATGTCCACCGCGGCCTGAGAGGTTCCACAGAAAGGACAGAACTTGTGGATCTCTTGAACCTGTTCCCCGCAGTGAAAGCAGTGCGTGGCGGCCCTCTTCTTCGCCGGTGGCTCCTTTGGCTTTGGGGTTCTTGCGGCCATGAAGGTGAAGTTCACTTCCTTTGCGACCAGGTTCTTGCCATCGGAGAGGACCGGGATGTCCTTAATCGACTGCACCAAGTGGACACCCTGCTCTGCCCTGTTCTTCGGCTGGAAGGGTTTGTCCTGGCCGCTCTTGACCTTGGGGCACACCAAATCGCCCCTCCAGTGACCTTTCTGCCCGCACGAGCTGCAGGTCGTCGCCAACTTCTTGGCTGTCATGTCCGTCTTGCGGCCCGGAGCTGCCCTTGGCCGCTGATCAGAGCCATTCCTGAAGTTTCGGGACTTCTTCTTCTCGGCCATCTGATTCTTTGCCTTCCATCCCGCTGCCCAGGCTTCCCTGAGCTGATCCGCAGTGACCTCATCTTCGGAGTCGTACTGGGCACCGTCCAACTCCGGGTCCTCCGTCTCTTCCGGGATGTCCTCCAGGTCTTCAGGCTCTTCTTCCAGGCCTTGCAAATAGGTCTCATAGGCCATCTGGCTGAACTCGATGATGCCCCTTGCCCGCTCCCTTTGAGCGAAACGAACTGGCCACTGAGGGCGCCGTGGATGCTCGGGTAGAGGCTGAGGTCGATCTTGAAGACGACGGCCTCGCAAAGGGGAACTTCCTGAAGGCTGATCCCAAGGCCGGAGTCCGGCGCTCGTCCTCGTGCACTCGGCTTGCACGGTGCCTCAAGGCGCTCTCGATCATCTTGGCGTTATAGGCACCCCCAGCCGAGTAGAAGACATCCAGCCGTTCTCTCCTGCTCAGCGAGGCGCGCACCAACAAGCGTTGCGCCCATGCTCGGTCAGAAAGGATTGTCCCTTCATCTTCCCTCAGGTACTGAGCCTTGAGCTTCTTGATCTGGCCAAGGTAGGACGCGATGCTCTGGCCAGGCTGTCTCCGATACTGGTTGAACTCCGCCTCGATCCGCTCGAAGTACTCGTCCGAGCTCTCGCCGTAGGCCTCGTTGAGCAGCTGCCACAACTTCGCAAGGCCTCCAGCTGCCACCATCTCCTCAATGGTGATCTGGTCGAGCACCTCCCTGGCGTCTCCCTTGCAGCTCAAGTAAATCATCATCGCCAGCTCGGCGCTCTCCAGGCGGTAGAGCTGCTGTTGAGCGAGCACCGCTCTGCGCCAGTTGCGGTACTTCCCACGATCGCCACTGAAATCTTCCATGCGCACCGAACCCAATGAAGACCTTGGGCGATCTGTGCCTTTCCAGCTGCGGGCCAGCAGCTGTTGCAGCTCCTCCGACCTGATGGAGGAGTCCTCAGTCGGAGTCTGCAGTGACCCCACCTCATCGTCCTGTTGATGTCCAGGTTGGTCACGAGGTCGTCTTCCATTGCCTCCATGACGTCCCTGATCGTGCCCTCCTTGACCGTCATCGTCCGGATCATCATCTGGGTCATCATCAGGAGGACCACCTCCAGCAGCACGGGACGGCTTCTTGGTGTTCCGTCCGGCGCTAGCCGGGGATGACTGGCCCCCGCCTTTGCCAGAGCCACGCCCTTTACCAGTGCCGCCACTGCCGAAGGCATTGAACGATGGTGGTACCTCAGTGTGCGGGTCAGGATCAAATTGATCATCATTCGGGTCTCGCTGGGGCTCCGTGTGATACTCGGGCTGAACAATATCCATTCGAAAAAACGTAGTGTTGCCCACCCATTCAGCCGCTTCTGGAGGATCCCTTGGACGGTTCATCCAGTGGTCGCTCACCAGCGTCGTACCTCCGTCCCTCTCCGCTTCCCCCACAAAGTTCATCCTGGTTCGCCTCCAAGGTGACATCTTGCTCAAGGGAATTGGGCACTCAAAGAGGTCGGTCGGCCTGAAGCGCTCAAGCCGAGGCACAACATGCACCCTGACCACCCGCGTGTTGGTCACCACCCAGTAGTCCGCCTCCATCCCAACAGATCTCGGTGGGGCTGTCCTTGCTTTCACCGCCGGCCTGGCAGTGGATGCCGGTGCCGAGGCGGCCGAAGTGGGCCTCGCTCCCCATGGATCTTCCCCTGGCCTCATCCAGGGATCATCTCCCTCTGCCGGTTCCTCCACCGGCAGCCCATCCGGCTCATCGTGAACATTCTCGCTCACCACCTCGTCCGGGATGACCACCCCATCCAGGTCATCATCATCTGCGTCGCCGGCCGGAACGTCCACCGGCCGTGCAGGCTCCTCCCCATCGCTTCCGCGGGCGCGTCGGGCCATTGGCCACCGCAGAGCAGCCTATGGACTTAAAGACGTCCAAACACCCCAAAAGCGGGAGCAAGGGGGGGGAACCCTCAAGCTCCGCTACCAATGTGGGACCGCAGGTCCGAAAAGCAAAGCCAAAAGGGGTTCCCAGTTAAGGGGCAAAGCAGTGCAAGCAGAGGCAAGGCTCGCAGGCCTTTTGCTGTGTCGCGCATCGATGGCTTCGGTTGCCGAGTCATTCATGCTATGTGCAAGCGAATGGCACTCTACCTCAGGCTTTCCCCTTCCTCAACACAATTCTAACCTCTCAAATCTGGAGGACCTAGGAGCGTATTTTCCATCATCCACCCAGCGAAGCTTAGGTGGAGTGTGAGGCCAGGGTCCACTCCGTGCGCATGGCTGGCCATGAGGCGGGCATGTGTCCTAAGCTGAACCAAAGGGGAAGCCAGCCGTTGGGTTCCAAAAGGCTACCTACCATTGCTTTGGTGCATTTTGCCAAGGGATGTTAGGACTTTAACTTTTTGCCAACTACTGGGTTTTCAATCAAACCACAAAAAATAGTCACTCTTGGCACGGGAGCAGAAAGCAACCGAGCTTGCTATGGCTCAAGGGAAACCAGCAAACACCAAAATGGAAGCTACCATGGTGGCCAAAGCGAGGCGATTGTCAAAAAGAAGCCTAGCACTTCTTGTGTACTCGAAGCGGGAAAGCAGCCATTTGTTCGGTCCGATAAAGAAGTTACAGTTGGGGCTCATCGCTCCGTGGAAGGCAGTCAGTTTTCAGGGTCCAAAAGGGAACCTTCCATTGTAAGAGCTCCAAAACAGACACCGGATCCATTTTTGGGGTCAAGACCAACAATCACCATCGCTTATCGTGAAATCGTTTGGTGCCTCAAGGGGAGCCGGGGATCCCCAGTTTTTGGAGCGCCGCGGGGTTTGTCCCGTAGGCCGTGCCCTTGCGTCCGCGGCTCTCGCTGGCGAGCGGCTCCCAGTTCGTGGCCCAGCGCTCGGAGGTCGACTCGCCAAAATCCAAGCGACCAACGCATGACCTCAGACACGTCAGAGTTAGGTTTGTCCAATAAAACTAGGGGGGCTGAAGCCCCTACTGAAGCCCAGAAAAGGGAATCACGCGTGAATATGTCGAGGCCTTCTCGAGATGACTTTGGGGATGGTTTCCCTCCCGCGATGGGCGTGATTGTAGTCTGAAGTATCGACAGCTTGTGCCTGGTGTATTGGATCGATTTTTTGGACTCCCATTGGCAGTACAGGGCCCAAAGCCGTTGATGGGGAGCTTCTTGAAGCTTGCGGGTCCTTGTGTCATTTCCAAGGCCGGGGGTGCGGCAGTTTACTGGTGAGAGGGTCGACAAAAGGGTCGCACCTTGAAGTCTGGAAGACCCAGTTTAAAGGGGCCTGCGTCAACTTGTCGCCATTTCCGGCAGGTTTTTTCGAGTCCCCCTGTTTTTTTTTCACAGCCTGAAGGGCAGACGAGAGGCCTTTTTGGTTGATTTGGTTGAAAAATAGAGGGCCCTGGTTTACTTGGTGGTTCAATCAACTACCAGGGCCATCTATTTTCCCAAAAAGGATACCTACCTGTATCTTCCAGGGTTGCCGAATTTCTGCCCCCGAGCTATGTACAATAATTTCCGCCCCCCTTACAAAAAGCGCCCCTGCGGTCCAAAATCTGACCCTAGGGTAACTGAAAAAACTCGTGGAACAGCAGAACAACACAACTTCCCAGCAGCCTCGACTACGTAGCACTTGAACACGGTTGGTCGCTCGCAATTCTGTGTTTGTTGCGCAGCATGCGTGTCGTGACTGTCCAAGTTGCTCCGGCCTTTTGCTCTTCCGTGCAAAAATGTGCGTACAAGTAAACAAGCCTTTCAGCTCCCGTGAATTGTCGAGCAAATATTAACTGCGAAGGCACAGTGCTTCAACCCTGCAGCTGTTGTCAGAACCCGCTGAAATTTCCCAGCCACCGCGTCCAGCTTCCCCCCTTGACTTCACCAGAGCAGCAGCTAGTCCGTACAGTCAGCATCCACTCAAATCACAGTGGGCCCACGGCGAAGGCTTCGAAAGCTATGCTCCCCTATGTTTCCAAAGCCTACTTTAAAAATGCATTCTGTCATAACCATGGTGTATTTTACAAAAACTTCTTTTTGACGACTAGCGTTGGCCTCCATTTTGAACGGGAACACGGGCTACGAGCCTTGACGCGAAGGCCGCTTCTTAGGATCCCAAAGTTGTACACACATATAAAGCAACATGTTTGACAATTTGTGGCGTGGATAGTATTGGCTACTATGTTGCTATCCTGTTTCTTATTCAGCGCGTGAAGGTGGACCTTGTTGAATTTTGGGTCCCTTTGCTTCACTTGGAAAAGCGGGACACAGCCTGGGTTTCTCTCCATCACAGCAACCATTGTAGGATGAGGGTGTTGATCTTTATTGCCCCCTGCCAAAAACATGGCTGTACGTCAGAGCATGCCCGCTCCACGGTGTTCTACATTTTGAATACACGGTTTGTCCAGAGTTACATCGCCTTTGGAGCTGCATGTATGAAATTGAACCAGGAAGACGAGCCCAACACTGGCTATGCCACCTGTGCAAATTGCAATGGCCAACCTATCATTTCCCAGAACTCAGGCAAGGCTTTCAGTGAGCAGACGCAGACAGGGAAATTAAGGACCCTACCAAGAAGAAAAAGGAGCCTAGCTAGCAGAAACAATGCGCTTTCCCAAGGTTTCCTGAGAGGTTGTCCTAGCAGGCGTGGCTTTGGTTGAAGAACGAAATTGAACCCAAAATGGAGCCAGACAGTGAATATGAAAAATAGTCGCTGCCAAGGCAAACATGCACGTTGTACGAGGCCTATTTAAATCATAGTCGACGAAGCATAGGATTATAGGCATATATTATATACTATCATTTATTTTTGTATTTCAGCATGCACAGTCACCGTATTCGCACTCGGCTGAAAGAAATGCTCTGCAGGCCACGCGTTTCACACAGTGCAGAATCAAGCGAAAACAGGCCTTGCTGGTGGTGCCATCAATGCACACAGACTTTGTTTAAGCTTCGCCCGCTGGGAGACGCACGCAAGCTCAATTCGCTGAGTTTTAGATTGTGTTGGGCGAGCGGCTGCCGCTGCGCAGCAATTTAATGCGTCATCATCACATTCCAGTATCAAGCAAAGAAGACACCAGTACGATGGCCGCGCACTTTATTCACGTGCATTTTGGCGTCGGCTAAACAGTTTGTGATATAGCTGCTGCAAACGAGGTCACCGCCAAAAACCGCCCCCAGACCGGCCAAAACCGCCCCCGGACCGCTTAAAACCGCCCCAAAAATTTCGGTGGTTCGTCCCACTGTCAAAAAAACAGTGTTGTCCCCGTTTGGAATCCGCTCTTCATGAACAGCATAAGTATTCTTCATGAATGACCTCCATGGATCGCATAAAGATTCTTCATGAATGACATGAAGATGCTGCAAGGATCGCATGAAGACTCCTCACGAACGACATGAATATGATTTATGAGACGCATGAAGATTATGCAAGAATATTCTGCATGAGTGACACGCACATGTTTTATGGATCGCATGATGATTCTTCATGAATGACATGAACAGTCTTCACGGTTCGCAGGATTAGTCTTCATGAATGACATGAGTAATCGTCATGAAAGACGTGAATTTAATAGATTCATGCATTGGATATCTATATACGATGGATCGCAAGACGATTCTTCATGAATGACATGAATATTAAGTGGATCACAATTAAGCTTTATTTATTGATATCGTGAAGACTCTTCATGAATGACATGAATATATCGTATGGATAGCACGAATTCATGAATGACGTGCGTATCATGCATGAGTCATATGAATATGTTGCATAAATGACACGATGATTGCGCATGGTTGACACAAATGTGTTTTTGCGGGTCGCATAAATATTCTTCATGAATGACATGTATTCTTTATGGATCAGACTCTTCATGAATGACGTGATGAATGACGTGAAGGTTCTTTATGGATCGGAGTCTTCATGAATGACATGAATTAAGGCGCTTTGTGGATCGCAAAAAGCTTCTTCATGACTGACATGACGATTCCTGACGGGTCGCATGAAGATTATTCATATATATATATATATATATATAAGCTGCATGAAGATTCCTTGCGGATCGCGTGAAGATTCTTCATGCACGGCATGAATAATCTTTATGGCTCGCGTGAAGATTCTTCATGAATACCATGAACATATTTTGTGGATCGCATGAAGATTCTTCATGAATGACATTACTAGTTTTGAATCAATCGCATGAGTATTTCTCATGAGTGATATGAATATTATTCATGGATGACATGAGGACTTTTATGGACCCCATGAAGATTCTTCATGAATGATGGACTCATCCTTTCATTAAAGGCTCTGCATGAGCGATAGAAATAGTCTTCGCGATAGTTATTGAACGACTCTCACCAAAGTCTCTAAAGTCTTGGAGTCAATATGTCCGTTCAATTCCTTTCGTCCTGCTGGCGACCCGCAACATATTTGGCTTCCGTATTGAGAAGAGAACCCATGTTGCTGGTTTTCTTAGCACCATGCTCAATCCTTTCGTATGGCTTAGGCACCGACCATTTAGCTTAGCACCTTAACTGGGTTCGTCTCCTTCTGGTCAACCGTTGCCTTGCACCTGCGCTCGTTCGATTTTGATTGGCTCCACTTTTGTCAATGCATCACTTAGTTGGGGCTTAGTTTCTGAGCCATAAAGGGTTCTCTGGTCCAACTATCGAACACAAATCCGTACACTTACCTAACTTGATCAGATCAACACTGCGGGGCCGCTTCGTTACGCATGTTCCAGTGGCTGATTTTTGTACACTACTTTGTCATAGCCAGCACGCTCGCTTGAATATATCAACGCAGGCCGCACAGGCTGCATTGCACCGCAAAATTGCTTGTTTTCCAGTAAACACCATTTTTTGCCCCCGGTCTCAAAAAACCGACCCCGGGCGAAAAAAACATGTTTGTTGCCAGGGGGCACAAAAACAGCAACCTTTGGAAGACCTAGGTATGGAGGCAAGGCCTGCCGAGTGCAAGCAAGGCCAGATCAGTTGCACCCTTTTGCCGATCCATTTCTGCCTCGTGTGTGTTGCACTGGGAGGCGCAGCACGCTAACTGGGTATGTCGTCAAAGGGCGGGGACCCCAAAGTTGCGTTGTGTCCTTTATCCCTTCAAGCAAGGGTACCCATCGAAAACTGTTTCAAACAGACGCAGGGATTGAGGCGACGCCTCTCACGGATTGTGCACGCGCCGCGTGCAGTTTGCCCTGGAAAACCAAAGCTTCCCCCACCCGCGGAGCGATATTATTGGATTATCAGTAGTCTATGGCTCCTATAAAAGGTGCACAGGCACATCCTTTGCAGAAACCGTGACTTTGAGCATGGCTACCCCACTTTAGTTTTTGTTGTTTTTGTTTGCTCCGAAATTTGAAGGGTGGAGACTCCACACACACCAATGCCAAGTTGCAAAAACCACCAGGGTCCAGTCTTCCTGTAGATTTTCTTGTCGCTTGTCATCGATGTTCCCGACTCGCTCCCAAAGCCGAGGTGCTGCATCGCCGCTTTGCCGAGTACGTCGCAGAGGGCTTCGAAAGCTCCAGCGAGGCGCCTCAAAACATGCAAGAAGCCAAGGATGCCAAGATAGCAAGAAATGCCTCTGGACATCCAAATTGATGTTGTAAGCCAATTTCCCGATGGACGGTTACTGCATGTCATTGTCATTTGTTGAATGCAAACAGAGGAAACTGGGCAAATTGCACGTGTCGTACAGAAGGCTTGTTATTTCGGCATCCCCATCCCCCACCCCGACCCAAACAAAAAATAGCAACATAATGGAAGGGCCAACTTAGCAACACCGGAGCACGGAAACGGACCTGCCCATCAACCCCACAAGTTGCTCCCTTCACATCGCTCAGCAAGTCCACTTCTGAGGGCTTTGACCCCCAGAAATGAAGCATGGGTTTTGCGTAATGCTATGATCAAACTCTACTGTTGCTGCTTGGAGTTAGAATATAGTATTGAAGTACATTGTTTTTAGCTGCTGTTGCATCCCCCTCACTCTTTTTCCTTATTGGGTCTCGGAAGGGATTTGGGAAAGCGTTTCTGTAATCCTCTCTATGCATAGATTGCAGAGGCAAAACCAAAGCATCATCAATGGCCGCATGGACAGTGGACATATGCCCAGCAAATTGCAAATGAGCCTCAATCAAAACCCGGGTAAGTGAAGGTTAGTAAGGGACAATCCCAGCCATAAATACGTGCGGATATCAGCCTTCTTAATTTTTGAAGCATGGTTCTGGGTTCACATTTTTTTGTACCAGGTTTTGCTTATGACTCAAATGATGCCAGGGCAAAGCAGTTTGTGACGAGCCATGTGTGGCCAATGATTTGTGCTGTCAAAAGCTTGGCTTATGGCTGTTTCGTTTACCATCATAGAACACATCATTCCAAGCGCTGTGCTATGACATAACGCAGGGTTATGAGCGCAAAATCGGAACACCCGTCTACTTTCACATGTCGTGGGGAATTCAACTGCAAGGGCTCTTCGTCCGTTCTAGCAAGAAGACAGCCATATCATCTGATGAGACTTGAAAGGCTCCCACTGCCATTGTTGCAACTTGTGAACCCTTGTGGCCTGTGGTGCCTTGTAGCTTTGCAGCCCCCCGCAGCTATTGGCGGCAGCCCTGTGTCATGAGACAGACAGCGCACATTCTGCCATAGGCTTTGTTCTTTAGCCAAAACCATGCATGAGGCTGTTGGTTCTTCCCAAAACGGGCACGTAATTAGTCGTGACCTACACACCCAATGGTGCCCCTTTTTGCTTTCAATGCACCACAAAAGGCCGCGCTTCTTCCTATGGCCACTGGGCTTCTGAGTTTGTGTTTTGTTTGCTTCGTTTGTGTTGGCCGCAAGTGCTGAGAACATACCATTCAAACTTGGGCCTCTTTTCACCATTGTGAAAGTGTTCAAGAATGAGCGAAGAGCACGTGGAAGTGCTCGGGGGCCTTTTCAGAAGGAGTCTTCCAAACAGGGTCGGCTTGGGCACTGGCCATGTTTGTTGGCCGTTTGTTCCATGTGTGTGTCTTTGTGTTTGAGGGTAACCGTTTCTTCACCGGAGGGTTTTATGGAAAGCCACGTAAAAATCAGAGCAGGACCCAAGGACGGGCGGCATTGGACTTGGGGTATGGGCGAAAGCACTAGGTCGCCCAGTAGTGCCCTTTCTCACGCCTTTTTGGGGGGAGGGTAAACCCCTACTAAAATGGATTATTCTAACCTCTCTACTGGAGGACCTAGAGCAATCGTTGGGCGGCATTTTCTCACGGCGCAGGCCCTTGAAATCATCGCCAAGGGCCCGGTCTACAGCGCCAGGACATAGAGCACTCCCGCGTTCCCGCAACCCGGGGGGGGGAATCCGCGCTTCTCCCAGGGGGGAGGAGGGATGAGCAAGTTGACTTTCCATTTGGTATATAGTGTCATTTATATTTGGGTGATTTGTGTTGTATCCTTGCTCCAGTTGATGTTTGTGGGAAATGGTTTTGCCTCGTAGCCTTTTTCCAGCAATCATGGAAGTGGAGTGGGGACATGTTTAAGATGGTGGGAGTCTTTTATTAGTTTGGGGGGGCACCCAAGTTCCCCAAAACGAGACCCACTTCGGACGACAGTGACACAGGTGGCCCACCCAGTCCCCTCTTGAGAAACAAAGCCCAGGGTTTGTTCCGCCAGAAGCAATGACCAAACCCCAAGGCGAGGAAATTGGATTTGGGTCTTGTTCTTTCAGGGGCCAATGGTCTGTCACGATTGGGTATTAGCATCTCTAAAATGTAAATGGGAGCTAAGCCTTTGAGTTAACTTTCTCGACCGAAACTCAAATGGGCGTGTCGAATAAAATTCCATTGAGACGTGTAACAGATCGACTGACCCCCTGAAGCCTGAAGTGATGCAAGGGCCGCGTACCACCATACTGCCAATCAAGGGGCCCTTCCCAGTCAAGTGCGGCAACTGCCCTGAAGAAGCAAAGTGAAGAACGCGTGGGGGGGCTCCCTTTGTGGTGGACGGGGGGGGGGGGGTGCACGTGTTTTCGGCTAGGAGTTGGGTTGTCAACCCGTGTTGGTCAACTTAGCAGGAAGCGTTTAAAGCAGGTTGTCCTTAATTTGGTGGTTTTGATCATGATTGCCAATCATGGCAAAGAGACGTGATTGTATTTCAGCTTCTTCGTCCGTGAGAGGGCAAGCACCCTCCTTCCAACGACGGAGTGTGTTCTTCACTTGCCAACCCCTCCTGTAAACCTCTATGTTTCTGGGAGGGAAGCTGAATCCCACAACTCTATGAATCTCGGAGCCATCGGCACATTGGCGAACCTTTACCCCAGTTGCTCAGTGGAGTCCGCCCTTGTTTCAACTTGTTTTTGGGTTTTGGGTTCCCCTCTAGACTCAAGCTACCAACAAAAATCGGATGCCGAGTCTTTTTTCCCCATGGCCGCTGGCTGGCTTGCCATGCCGTGCATTTGGCCCAGCTTTTTCCCCAAATCCACTGGGCATCTGAGCCACGTGCTCAAAACCCGGGCAAGTGAAGGTTAGCAAGGGACGATCCCAGCCATAAAAAGCTGCGGATATCCGCCTTCTTAGTTCTTGAAGCATGGTTCTGACCATGTTTGTACCGGCTTTTGAGCAAGTGACTCATCTGAGTTACATGCCAAGGGTGGTCCATGGCAACCACCCCCAGCGGAGCGAGTGCGCCAGGATCGCCTCCGGCTCCATGGCGCGGGAGGCTCGGCGGTCGGCGGTCGGGGGCGGTTGGGGGCTGGTTGAGGCTCGGATCCCGGATCCCCGTGGCCCGACATCCGCATTGGGCCAACAAATTGGTGGTTTAGGGTTCAGGGTTCAGGGTTCAGGGTTCTGACATTTTGGGATTTTTCTTCTCAGGTTGAGCTTGTGAATTTTCTCTCTGACATTTTGGATTTGTTTTTATCATGTTGAACTTGTGGAATTTGCCTCTCTTGAGGGTGTTGGGGTTGTTCTACCTTGTGAAATTCCCCGCAATTGATTGGGTCCGCTTGCTTGCTTTCCTTTTTGGTCAGGTTCTTTCAAGCTGAGCACACGTTCGATCCCTGATTCGCTTTGCAGGCTGCAATTTGTATCGTATGAGACATGGTCGTTGCAGGTTAGGGGGGGTTAGGGTCGCTCTTTGTGATACCAAAAGTTTCTCCCATGGCAGACAGATTTCAGCTCATTCAAAGCCAGGCTCATTTTCCGTTTTCCGTCACGTCAGATGGGCAGAGTAGCATGTAGTTTACATTGGCACTTCAGTCAGGGCTAATGTGCCGCGATGTGTACTCGGTATATGCCAATTGCATGGCTATGTAGGCCTTAGCTTGGAGATACAGGTGTGCATGAGCAACAGTCACGATTTACCCATCTTCCCCAGTAGTAAGGTAAGGTTGATATTGCACGTTCAGAAGAGAAATTGGAACAGGTAACAGGGGGAGCCGGAAGAAAGTTTTTTGTATCCTCTCTCTTTCTGGGCTTCACCTCGTTGCATACCTCGCTTCGTTGGCCAGCGACCCCCTTTGTGCCATCGCCTGGCTTGCGTTGAATAGTTGCAAATTGCAAGCTAGAGCTACAGAGGTGCGCTGTTCGTGGTGCTCTTGTACTGAGTAGTTGCTACTTTCAAGCTGGAGCTGCACTCGTTTGTTCTGCGCGGCTACTTTGTACTACTAGTACTTGTCAAGCACTGTTTTCCCGCTGCACACGTAGCAAGGACCCCATTACATATCTCCGCGGCAAGATTCGCGCCGCGTCGTGCGTTGCATATTCTAGAAACAAGGCATAGTCATTGAGTATTTTTTGTATGGGTCAAAATTAAACCTCTAGGAAACCGCAGGTTTCCATTTACCAGGGTTCCATTTGGGGTACGCATTTTGACCCACAGCCATTTGACTCTGGCTCACACGAGACCGAGGTGCTGAACGAGGTGCTCTTCTTTGCGTCGCCCGACGAAACCTTTTTCCACACGCTGGCCGGCGCCTCTTTGGAGGTGGCACAGGGCTCCTTAAAAGATACATGTTGCCCATTTGAAACATGGTGTTTTCCACCAAAATAAATGGAAGCCACCATTTACCAGGCAATGTTCAGGTGTACAATGTAAGGATCCCTGTGGCACTGGCTGATGGGAATGATTTGCCGGCTCTCGGTGGGTAATGGATAACCCTTATGAACCATCTCGCGTGGTTTCTCTTTGGAGGATCCCTAGCTCTATTCCCCTTGCCCTCGTGATTCCCTAGTGAGACCCAGCAACATGTTGATTATTGGGATGGAGGACATGTTACTCGCGCGCAAATTCACTAAGCCGAAGCGGAGGTCCTGCACCAAGAGGCGAGTCATTTGAAGAGGCTTTTGGGGGTTCTATATTGACCTGCAGGGGAGGAGCAAATGGCATCTTGACCTCACTGGGGGTCTTCGATCTCCCCCATTAAGTTAATTAAGGCCGACCTGGTTTGGAGATTTCTGAAAATCCAGACGAATGGAACTACAACTGCTAAGCAGAATCAAGCCATGGAGTGGCTTACAAGGGCGAATAATACAAGAAGTCAGTGATGTCCATGGTTACCAGTGTGCCCTTTACCCAAGCTGCCTGTATACGCAAGTTGCTAGTGTTTTAACCATCGACAGGGATTCCGCGGCAGGATAGGTTTGTCATTTATACGGTTTGTACATTGTCATTTGTCTCACGTGAGATTTACTACAAATGTATAGCTGGTTATATTGTGCAGAAGTCGAGAACATCACACGTGTCATATGAGCCACGGACAAAACACGCGTAGACCACTTTATCAAGACGGGGCACGCTTTTGAGTAACACATCCCAAAACCATGGAAAACGATGAGGTCTCCCCCAAAAACGATGACCCTTAACGAACACACGGCTCTGTAAATACGACACTTGTACTGAGAAGTTGCGATTTTCGAGCTGGAGATGCGGAAGTGTACTTCGCGTACAGCCTAGGCTTGTACTACAAAGCTGCGATTTTCGAGCTGGAGCTGCGGAAGTGTTCTTCGCGTACTAGACTTGTACTACAAAGTTGCGAATTTCGAGCTGGAGCTGCGGAAGTGTACTTCGCGTACTAGACTTGTACTACAAAGTTGCGATTTTCGAGCTGCAGAGGCGGAAGTGTACTTCGCGTACTAGACTTGCACTACAAAGTTGCGATTTTCGAGCTGGAGATGCGGAAGTGTACTTCGCTTACTAGACTTGTACTACAAAGTTGCGATTTTCGAGCTGGAGCTGCGGAAGTGTTCTTCGCGTACTAGACTTGTACTGCAAAGTTGCGACTTTCGAGCTGGAGCTGCGGAAGTGTACTTCGCGTACTAGACTTGTACTACAAAGTTACGATTTTCGAGCTGAAGATGCGGAAGTGTACTTCGTGTACTAGACTTGTACTACAAAGTTGCGATTTTCGAGCTGGAGATGCGGAAGTGTACTTCGCGTACTAGACTTGTATTACAAAGTTGCGATTTTCGAGCTGAAGATGCGGAAGTGTACTTCGCGTACTAGACTTGTATTACAAAGTTACGATTTTCGATCTGAAGATGCGGAAGTGTACTTCGCGTACTAGACTTGTACTACAAAGTTGCGATTTTCGAGCTGGAGATGCGGAAGTGTACTTCGCGTACTAGACTTGTACTACAAAGTTGCGATTTTCGAGCTGGAGCTGCGGAAGTGTACTTCGCGTACTAGACTTGTACTACAAAGTTGCGATTTTCGAGCTGGAGCTGCGGAAGTGTACTTCGCGTACTAGACTTGTACTACAAAGTTGCGATTTTCGAGCTGGAGATGCGGAAGTGTACTTCGCGTACTAGACTTGTACTACAAAGTTGCGATTTTCGAGCTGGAGATGCGGAAGTGTACTTCGCGTACTAGACTTGTACTACAAAGTTGCGATTTTCGAGCTGGAGCTGCGGAAGTGTACTTCGCGTACTAGACTTGTACTACAAAGTTGCGATTTTCGAGCTGGAGCTGCGGAAGTGTACTTCGCGTACTAGACTTGTACTTGCGATTTTCGAAGCTGCGGAAGTGTACTTGTACTACAAAGTTGCGATTTTCGAGCTGGAGTGCGGAAGTGTACTTCGCGTACTAGACTTGTACTACAAAGTTGCGATTTTCGAGCTGGAGCTGCGGAAGTGTACTTCGCGTACTAGACTTGTACTACAAAGTTGCGATTTTCGAGCTGAAGATGCGGAAGTGTACTTCGTGTACTAGACTTGTACTACAAAGTTGCGATTTTCGAGCTGGAGATGCGGAAGTGTACTTCGCGTACTAGACTTGTATTACAAAGTTGCGATTTTCGAGCTGAAGATGCGGAAGTGTACTTCGCGTACTAGACTTGTACTACAAAGTTGCGATTTTCGAGCTGGAGATGCGGAAGTGTACTTCGCGTACTAGACTTGTACTACAAAGTTGCGAATTTCGAGCTGGAGATGCGGAAGTGTACTTCGCGTACTAGACTTGTATTACAAAGTTGCGATTTTCGAGCTGGAGCTGCGGAAGTGTACTTCGCGTACTAGACTTGTACTACAAAGTTGCGATTTTCGAGCTGGAGATGCGGAAGTGTACTTCGCGTACTAGACTTGTACTACAAAGTTGCGATTTTCGAGCTGGAGATGCGGAAGTGTACTTCGCGTACTAGACTTGTACTACAAAGTTGCGATTTTCGAGCTGGAGCTGCGGAAGTGTACTTCGCGTACTAGACTTGTACTACAAAGTTGCGATTTTCGAGCTGGAGATGCGGAAGTGTACTTCGTGTACTAGACTTGTACTACAAAGTTGCGATTTTCGAGCTGGAGATGCGGAAGTGTACTTCGCGTACTAGACTTGTACTACAAAGTTGCGATTTTCGAGCTGGAGATGCGGAAGTGTACTTCGCGTACTAGACTTGTACTACAAAGTTGCGATTTTCGAGCTGGAGATGCGGAAGTGTACTTCGCGTACTAGACTTGTACTACAAAGTTGCGATTTTCGAGCTGGAGCTGCGGAAGTGTACTTCGCGTACTAGACTTGTACTACAAAGTTACGATTTTCGAGCTGAAGATGCGGAAGTGTACTTCGTGTACTAGACTTGTACTACAAAGTTGCGATGATCGAGCTGGAGATGCGGAAGTGTACTTCGCGTACTAGACTTGTACTACAAAGTTGCGATTTTCGAGCTGGAGATGCGGAAGTGTACTTCGCGTACTAGACTTGTACTACAAAGTTGCGATTTTCGAGCTGGAGCTGCGGAAGTGTACTTCGCGTACTAGACTTGTACTACAAAGTTGCGATTTTCGAGCTGGAGATGCGGAAGTGTACTTCGCGTACTAGACTTGTACTACGAAGTTGCGATTTTCGAGCTGGAGCTGCGGAAGTGTACTTCGCGTACTAGACTTGCACGACAAAGTTGTGATTTTTGAGCTGGAGATGCGGAAGTGTACTTCGCGTACTAGACTTGTACTGCACAGTTGCGATTTTCGAGCTGGAGATGCGGAAGTGTACTTCGCGTATTAGACTTGTACTGCCTGCCAAGTTTCGCTTTTCGAGCTGGAGCTGCGGAATTGTATTTCGCAATTTTCGGGCTGGAGCTGCGGAAGTGTACTTCGCGTACTAGACTTGTACTACAAAGTTGCGAATTTCGAGCTGGAGCTGCGGAAGTGTACTTCGCGTACTAGACTTGTGCTAGAAAGTTGCGATTTTGGAGCCGGATCTGCCAAAGTTCGAAAACACTGTAAAACGATGAG